AATTAATGTCTCATCTAAATTATAATTTGAACGTTAGGCAACATCTAGTTAAAGTTAATGATTCTAACTAAGAAAGAATGTACAATCTTAAAACATAAAAATGACCCAAGAAATTTTGTGAAAATCTTGAAAATAAACCAAAAATCCACTATAAGAAAATTAATCACGTGCATGCCCACTCATGTACTACTTTAAAATGTTGAAGAGAAAAAATGACTAATCGAAATTAGTGGAGGGTTTGATATTTCTTGTAGGTGGGCACTTATCGAATAAGCATAACGAAAATGTTAAGAAAATAAGTCAAGTTTTTGAGATTCACGCACCACTTGCAGTGCGTACAACGCCCCAGTCTGAACATCTTGCTTTCTTGAATTTATTGGACACCTATCATACATAGTACAATTATAATAATAATAATAATAATAATAATAATAATAAATTCAGCTATAAAAAAATAAGTCACAAAATTTCAAATTGGCTCTAGGACTATATCTATCTAAATGTTTTTTAAATGAAACGGAAAAATATACTTTTGTACCGCAATATAGCAATAAATGATAATTTTATTTCACCAATTTTGTACAATCAAAAAACTATTAGGTAAATAGCAATTCTACAAAAAAAAACTGTTTGTGTACGTAGGCTTCAATTTACTAAAATTATAGGGAAACTATGAGTACCCGGAAAAGGAAGTCGTCATCATTTGAAAATATTTAGTTTGAGTATTTACTTCCTATATAAAATTGAATGAACTTGGAAAAATGAATATTTATTAACCAGAGGCAAAAATTTGTCTTTTAACGGATGTTTCTGCAATTGTTGAATACAGTTTTTGTACAAAAAAATAATAGAACGAAAATAAAAAAAAAATAAAAACAAATTTAAAAAACTGAAGAAGTTATAATAATAAAATAAATAAATTTAATATCTGAAATTTGTCAGATAATGAAATAAGTTTTAAATCTTTTTTTATGGCATAGACATTTTGCGAACTATAGTAGAATTTTTTATCAACATACACTGCAAATTTATTTTGTAAGTTTTGCAATCTATCTATGGAAATATGATATTGGGGTTCCAATTTACAGTACCGAAATTTAGTAAACTGTTGACCAGTGGCAGCTTGTGGTAATTTAAAATGGGTGTTCACCTTTTCCAATAATTTTATCATATATAAGTTCGGATCAAAACTTTGTACAACAGTCAATATCGCTGTTTTTTTTATTATTTAAGTTTGTATTAAGTGTAGTTATTATTATCAACATTATACTGTTTTCAAGAACTACAACTATTAGTAAATGAATATTTTTGTTAGTGTGATATTTGTTTTGTTTTTAATACGTTGAAAACCATCTATAAACATTATTAGTTAGTAAACTGACTTTTCTTCATAATTTGAGATTATTTTTAAATATATATCAGGTTATGTAGAAAGCTAGACATTGATTTTTGTGTAAAAAATTTTATATGAGACTTTACCTACCATTTTTTAGTTTTTATTGTAAGTTTAATCATTTGCACAATTTGTCATAGATATCAAATAAAAAATATATTTTTTAAATACCTTTTATTGGAAAATAAAATAAGAACTAAAATGTTTTAAATGTTTATTTTATAAGATTAGTCCCAACATAATATTACACAGACACAAACTAGAATAAAGATATATAATGCCTGGCATTTTAAAAGATACTCTTCGCAGTTTAACAGACCCCGTTAACCTCCATTTTTAGGCAGATTGTTTTGACAATCAATAGGCCTCATCTCCTTATAGACCTTGATTTTCATACAGAAAATAAAGAAACGCCCGTTTCAAAATATAAGTAAAGTGTCTAAATAGACATTGCGAACATATTGTTGTAGGTCTAACAGCGGCACTAAAAAGAGCCCTCTGTTAGGCTACACCCTGCACACCGAAGCTCATCATGTTACAGGACTGTTTGGGGCACGGGACCATCGTAAGAACGTTTGAAATAAAAAGGAAATCTCTGCTTCGCAGGGTAAATAAAACGGATCAGCATATTGGCAAGACAGAATTCCATTCTGTAGCTTTCTGAGAATAACCACCCACGGTTGATGTGGCTCCCTTGTTCATCCACGGGAAGAACCCTATATATATTAAAATATGAGTGTTTTACCAGACAAAGAAAATGCAGGAGCAGCAAAGGAAATGACTTACCTCTTTTGAGGATTTTCTCTGCTACCGGGATCCAGCAACACGTGGAAGAAAGTATCTCTCGGCGTCTCACTTGCCTCAGATTTTGGTCAGAAACCAGGTTCATCCAAAATAAAAGTAACATAAACATTGGCACGGGGGCTCCTTGGACAAAACAAAAAGCTCGGAAACTAATTATTACTCAACACTATTTAACATAATACGGAGCTAAATCCCAATGGCCATCTTCTTCCAAAAATCAAATCGGAAACGGCCGAAAAACAAAAGTTATTTTTTTTTAAGTGACAGTTAAGACCAAAAAGAACTAGTGTTTAGCCAGTTTCTCGTGTCTCATATTTATGGTCAAATATAATTAAAGAAAAATAATTATTATGCAAAATAAAAGAAATGGAATGATAAAATATTAAACTATAACCCTTACTCTATTCCTATGGTTATTTACAAAATTATGCTGTGTCTGTAGACAGATTAAACGAACGTGTGAATTGTACTAGACTGGTAACACTGGTTTGGCAACCTTGTTTATGAGCGGCGCGCCAATTAATGTGTTCAATAGTTTGAAGGATCTGTTGGCGTGTTGTCTTCTCTTTTTAGCTATATGCATTCGGCATATCGTCTCACTCGTGTTAGGCTCACTCATCATAATGCGCCACAGACACAGTATACTTCGGTATACTGTGACACAAAGACGCGATCAGCCAGAGGACAATGATGTACAAAAAAATATAGATTAACACATATGAAAATAAAAATAATAATATTAAAATAATGTGTTTTTATGAAATTTAACTGGGTGTTCACTGCACAAATGAACCAATGGAGAAACCGCCCCTGTCCGTGGTGATCTTAACATAACATTTCGCATTTTTAAATACAATTTCGGTGGCCTAATTAATTACTATTTTCACTTTCAATACAGGCACTTGTCTTCGGGAACATGAACTTAAATTAAAAAATCTGATGTGTCCAACACATGACTTTCCTATGTAGTTATTATAGGCTTTTTCCGGTTATTTTGTACAACCTATTGCAGCACCTCTATAAATGTTTAGAGGATAAACTAAATATATACATTTTCCACATACTTCTACCTCGAAACAATTTTCTATAGATATTCATTGAAAACGAAAATACTGAAAAATTAAAATTTAGCACTTTTCCTACAATTTTTCCATTACGGTCCATTTTAGAGAAATTATGTATAAACAAAAATTATAGAGATCGATATCGCAAACAACTTTTAGTTTAACAATTTTTATAAAAATCAGAATTTTGCACATTTTGTCAAATTTCTCGAATACGGACCATTTCAGGAAATATTGACATAAAACAAAAATTATAGATAATAATATTAGAAGTAACTTTTATTTGAACAATTTTCTTCTCCAAACATAAATAACATATATTCTATAAAATATAAAAACGGCCTCAAGTACCCCCCCAGATGTTCCGACTTTGTCCAAAATCTAATCATTTCACGTAAGTTTAAAATTGAATGTTTTTTTCTTTATCCGTTTTTGAGTTTTCTTCAAAATTTAAAATTTACACATTTTTTCAAATATCTCGAATACGGTCCATTTTAGAGAAATTATGTATAGAATAAAACTTATAGAGAATTATATTACAAACAACTTTTATTTGAACAATTTTTATAAAACAATATTTTTTTTACATTTTGTCAAATTTCTCGAATACGGACCATTTTAGGAAAATTTTGTATAGAACAAAAATTATAGATAATAATATTAGGAATAACTTTTATTTGAAGAATTTTCTTCTCCAAATGTAAATAACAGATAAATTCCATAAAATATAAAAATGACCACCCATAAAGAACCCCCCCAGATGTTCCGACTCTGTCCAAAATCTAATCAGCTCATTGGACGCTGGAACAAAGCTTAAGTTTAAAATTTGGTGTTTTTCTGTGTATCGGTTCATGAGTTATGCGACACACAGACATCATCGCGAAAATAGTCAAAACGGATTCAGGGGACCTCAAAACGTAAAAATCCATTGAAAACTCGAGGTCGAAAAAAATCATGATACCTATACTTTCCTTATATCTGTATACAGATAGGAAAGTAAAAAAGCAAATAGTACAACAAGATCTAGACAAAATTTCCTAATAGAAATTTTAACGTTTGGAATAATTTACATCAAACAGTGTTAGTGTGAACAGTTTTAAAAACAAACTTGATAAATTAGTTAACACTTTGTAATTTAGTAAATAATCTCTTTTGTACTTTTTGTAGAGTATTTAATACTTTTATGTTTTTGGGCATAACATTCTTATTTAATAATAATAATAATAATAATAATAATAATAATAATAATAATAAAGAATCTGCATCAGTTTGGTTATACTTTCCAAAATTATATAACGTCTCGTATTACTTAGTGCTATATCCGATATTTGCCTCGTTTCAGTTGAAACAAAGCATTCAAACTTAATATATAAGTTTTTAATAAATTTATTAAATTCGTTTACATTACACGAAATACTGCAAATGTTATTGTGATTCTTGTTTACTTTTAAAACGGTGTATAATATTTACAGCATAAACTGCTGCTTTAAAACGAATCTATTTATTAAAGAATCATAAAAAAGGATGAAACGAAAGATAGTTTCATTTTAAAAATCATTAAAATAAATCCTAAGCTACCCACTACATATAATATTTCATGCCTGCATAAATATTTCTCAACACAAGAAATTTTGTTTACAAATGTTTAAACTACGCGAATATCAAATAAACAACGGTTGAATAATAACGTATTTCTATTTTTTTAACAGATTAAATGGGATAATATAAAGAAAACTTACTTTTAGATACTTCAAAATCTTTTTAGGATTATCGCCGTTGTGGAAAACGTGCACCGCGACCGCGTTTTTTCGAACGTGTTAAATCACAGCGCGAAATTGCGAACCTGCGGCGAAAATAGACGCTTCGAAACTGGCGTCGAGACGGTCGAAAAACCGACGCGTCCTGCCACATGAATTTGACGCAAGCGTGAGATGGTCAGGTATTTTAGTAAGGTTGCCGAAAGAAGATTCTTTATTTTGAAAATGGTTTAATCGGTGATTTTTACTTTCCTACCTGTATACAGGATAAGGAAAGTATAGGAATCATGATTTTTATATTCAATATTAAAAACGTTGATTAATAAGAGCCTATTTCCCACACACACTCGTTATTTCAACGTAAATTTAACGTTGTATGGTATAAAAAAAGTTATTGGTTGAAAATTTAACGTTGAAATTTTAGTTGATAAGTTATACGTATATAAAATACTATTTTATAACGTATGTTTCTAATAATTTTTAACAAAATGTAGAAAATTTGATAAAATAATAATATTAATATTTGTGATAATTGTGTTATATGTATTTTGATGTGTTGTTAATTTAATTTTCTTGTTTTGAATAAAAATTAGAATAGGTACGAAGGTGAAAAGAAAGGTTTTTTATTTCTCACAAAGTTAATTCATTGGTGACCGGTTTCGAACTGATAACTTCATCATCAGGCACACCTTAATGGAAAGTCATGGAGTCAATGTATTGAAAGGTGAAAATTATTTAATACTAATAAAAATTGAAATATTTTTTTTTAAGAACGAAATGGGGAGGTTAATTATAATTTCATTCACCATGACATATCTATTGCAGATAACATAAAAAGTTAAAAAAGTCACTGTAAATATATAATAAATTATGTCGCAGAAATTTTTATTTTTAAAGGTTAAAAAAGTATATCAAAATAGCCGTGTTTACTTAAGGTTGGAGGAAGTAAAAAATATATTTAAATTTATATAAAATAATAAAAAAACAAGTTAAGAATAAACATGCATTTTAAAATTTATAAAATTATGACTGTCACATTACGAATTGAAAATAGTGTATAATAATCAATTGAGTTTTTTTAACAGAGATAAGCAAAGGAAGGTAAAGTACCTTCCATTTATCAAAAAGGTTATTAACTAGAAAGTAGGTATCTGTAATCTAAAAAGGTAATTTAAATAATGTTTACTAAAAGTATATATATAATAGTATATTATATTTCTGCCTCGTCTCGTAAATAAGATATATTGTCGACCCCTGTATATGCTTCGATTTGACCACATAGTTGAAAGCTGAAACTATTTGATATATTCCCTTCTCCACCAATCCCCTCATCATAACACTTTACTTCAGTCTTTGATTATGTGCCGTAGAGATCACATCTATATTATATTTCCTAGTAAATTCAAAAACAAAGTGTACCGATGACTAGACCTCATAATAAACATTCAAAAAAAAGTCGATACAGCGTTCTCCGCATTTAGAACGTGTTGTATAACTGGTTTAGCCAGAAATTCTCCGATTGAATCTACAAAGTTTTTGTTTTGTTAAGCAATTCTCCCGTCATATCAATAATAAAGTTATTGTGTCATTGAAAACAGTAAGTAGGTAATTGTCTTAATGTCCGATTTTTTCACTGCTAAATAGGTAATGAACGAAGCTGGACTTAGACCCCTCGTAAGGAAATCAGACTAGTCTTAAATTATTCCTAGTGATATTAGGTTTGTTCGTAGAGCGATCCACAACCGTTTCCAACTGAACAGCGGATGTGCATTGAATATTTTGCGTTTGAAGAAGAATCACTGATAGTTTCCAATTATTAATTTGGCGTTCGTAGAAATAAATGAAGTGATTTCCATCTGATTGGAAACGGTTGACTATTCTCCGGATTTTAAATCCGGGGCATGCGCACATGAAATATGTTTAATAACCTACAATTTGACATTTGGCGTGAAATTTATGTGTTTGACATTCGTCCGTGCTTTTGTTGATTTGATTAGTTGTTTTTTATAAGTGTAATTAATACACATACATAAAATTTAATAAAGTATGCAATTACATAAGACCACAAAGACCTACCATCCATTATTCTGATAAAATATCAGCCTTTAACTTCAAAACATGAAGGAAGGATTCAAAACAGGTAATATAATTAAAATATATTGATAAAATGGGGTGCAATTTATAAACTGTGACTCATACGACGTAAAAATTCAAATAATTTCTTTTTTTTTTGGCCGTTTACTAAATTTATATCTAATATACAAGAATAGATAGAGACGAATCCACAACTCTACCAAATGCGTTCGCTGAGCATAAAAATGACAATAAATCTCAAACCGTTGGAAATCACGCAAGCGCATCATAAAAGAATCACCAACTGTTTGAAACTGTCTCTACAAACAAACCTATTATCTATTTGTATACAGATTTTTATGGTGTTAACTTTTTCCATTCTGTACCAAATAGCTTTTTCCAATATTTCAAGAAGGGCTGTTCCCCCTTTGAACCAACTTAGACCCCTCTTAAGGAAATAAGACTTGTCTCTAATTGTTTATATTATTATTTACTTGTATACCGATTTTTAAAATTTTAACCTTTTTAAAGACGCTATTGATCTTTCGAGCATCTTCGGGAAATTGACCGCTAAATTTTGGCTGCCAAGTTCACACTGGTGAACTTGTTTGTGTCTTTCTATCAACCAAAACATATTTATGAATGTAATTTTTAGCTTCTCAGTCTAATTTTTACATGCTTCTTCCATTCTGTATCAGCCCAAGCAACGATTAAAGCCCGTTACTTGTGGCCTACTATTACCTATGTCTGAGTGACCTTTGACCCCTGGAATTTTTCATCTCCATCTGTAGCTACCCGAGTACTTACGACGCCGCTTCGAGAGTTTGTGGAGTAAACCATTACAAAAATCTGGCGCTCGAGAGCCGCTCGTAACCAGCGCCATTAGCAAGGGACAATTTTCTCAGAGGCAAGAAATCCCCTTACAAATTTGGCCGGGTTTAGCGTCCAGATTTGCTGTTTTTTTTTTTTCGGAACATTCCTTGTATTGATAATTATATTTATCCATTATATATAGATAACAGTGCAATAGGTCATCAAGAGTACCTAAACAAAATTAAATTGTAATCAGCAGCAGAATAATCGTAATATAATATTTTATACTGCAGACAAATTTAAAATCAACATGTCAATTAAATTAATTCTGTGTTTTACAATTTTACAACTCACTACAGGTATGTAAATTTTAATAATAATTTTGTCACAAGAACTCCGTACAAAAATTATTTAAAGCATTAATTCACAGTAGCATTGACTCATACATACTGTAAATTATGGGCTCCATTTCGTATATTTCTGATAATTAATTATAGATATACACATTTGGTAGATTAAATTTTGAAATATAATATGAGCTACGAGGCTCTTGTTACCAGACCGTGAATATATGAGGATTCACTTTAATTTATATGTGAGGGTTGTAAATAAAAGCTTAAAAGTTATGTATCAAAATAACAAAAATTGTTTACAACAGGTCGATTTTTATTTCAGGGACAGTTTAAATGTCATACGTCACTAAAATATTAGCCATTCCAAACAAATGAAACGCGGTGCTACGAGCAATCATAACTAATAAATTAAATCTAAATATTATTTTGTCTTACCCATTGAAAATATTATTTAAAAAAAATCTGGGGACTACTATTTCAAATAAAAAATAGTGTCCCAAGATGGAAGGCTATGACGCAACCCCCTTAGATTTACGAGCCCTTCCGACTGGTACTTATCGTTTTATTATAGTGAAAGGACTCCGAACTATCTCTCGAATAAATATCCTTTTTGTTTTGATAATGAGCAGGGCCAGGTTCTACTAATTCTTGAATATTATTCACAGTGTCTAGGTACACGCTAACTTGTACGCAATTCAAAAATTTATATACACGCGAAACGTCTTGACAGAGTAGGTGAGCTGTGTGCAGGCCGTTTGTGTCTACGCCAGTCGTAGCTAGGTATGGATTGAAATTTTTTTGTGGCGGCGAAGCCGCCACCTTACGAGAACTCGTTACTTCGTTTTCCTTTTGTCACGGCATTATTATTATTTGTTCATGTATGTGAAATTTGCTTCTAAGGTTTATAAAATACTACTGTGCTAGTCACGGCGTAAATGAAAACAAACAAGACGCATTCACACAAACACCTCCCACCACAGCAATATGACGTTTCGCGTGTATATAATTTTTTGATTTGCGTACACTTTAGCGTGTGCCTAGCAACAGCGAATATTATTGGGACGTAATTTCTTTGGCCATAGTGCTGTATCTTTTCACTAAATTTTAATTTAAAAATCTATATTATATATTATAAAACAATTATAATAAATATTTTTTGTAAGCGGTTTTTCGCAAAAACAATGAGTTATAGTAAAAAAACTTCATACAAAAGTTGTAGTTAATATTTTCAACAATCAGTTATTATGATAGTCAAATTTTTTTAATATGTAATTCTAATTTTTACATCTATTTATGTTATTATTCATTTATTTTCAGTTGTTTTATCAGCAAAGTCATGTTGGGGTCAAACTGCTATTTCTGATGTGCAGAAATTATACAAATATTGTAAGAATACCGTGTCACCTGATTCTTCATTGGAATACAGAGTTCAAAATTTTAATGATAACAAGTCTCTAGAAACGCTGTGTGAAGATATCAAAACCAGTGTAAATCAAGGAAGCAATAATAGTTTAGCAATTGATATATTTAATAACTGTATGTCTTTGAAAACAACACGTTTGGGATACTGGCAATTACAGGTAAATGTTGACAATTATTATTAGTTTTAAGAGTACTATAGTCTATTTTTATGTATGAGAGAGTAATAAAACAGCATTTCTAATGCAAAACTTAGTACGGTCATTTTAAATATTTTTACAGAATAATCTAAATATTTCCTAAAATTGTAATAAATGTACCTGAGCTATTACAAGTTTTGGGTCTTTTATTGGTCCTTTATAAACATAAGCTGTACAGAACAATAGAAAAAGGTTTAGACAGGCCAGAAGCCCTGTGTATTAAAGATTACATAGCCGTATCTTAAGATTATTTTCAATAAGTACCTACCTATTTGCCAATTTTGTTTTATTTTAGTTCCAAGAATTTCTTACAGTAATCGAATTATAAGTAGATAAATACCTTCCCAACAAATGTCACCGAAAATGCGATTATAGGTTTTCCATTTAGTAAGGAGGTCCAAGTTGTGTATTCTTGACAGTTTATTAAATGTCGTTTCAAACAGCACGTAAAGCTCCAGGAAAACCAAAATTTCAATTAGAAAATCTTTTGAAAGAAAGACTTCGAAGGAAAGTGCATGCGTTCTTTTTTAGAAAAGAATTTCCGACAGTAGACAAAGTTCTTGCCACGGTTCGAGATGATAAGGATTACCCTGAAATGAGTCGAAGCACACTATGGAAACTTTTAAAAGAAATAGGTATTCTATGGAAAATGCATTCCAGAAAGTCTATTTTAATAGAAAGAAGCGATATTGTAGTATGGAGAAGAAATTACCTAAGGACTATAAAAGAAATGAGAAACCAAAGAAGAAATATATTTTATTTAGATGAAACATGGATCAACGAGGGACATAAACCAAATAAATGTTGGCAAGATGAAACTGTTACAAGTCGAAGACAGGCTTTTTTAAATAATTTATCTACTGGTTTAAATCCACCATCACGAAAGGGGCGCGAACTAATAAGAGTACACATCGGTAGTTCAAACGGTTTTGTTAAAGGTGGTTTATTGACTTTTGAATCTACTCGTACCGGTGACTACCATGAGGACATGAATGCTGATGTCTTTAAAGAGTGGTTCGAACAAATTATAGATCTTCTTCCTCAGAACTGTATAATAGTAATGGATAATGCAAGTTATCACTCGAGACTTATAGAAAAAAATGCCCACAACCAAGTGGTTAAAAAAAGATTTACAGAAGTGGCTAAATTCAAAGAATATTAAGTTCCATCCCGGTTCTGTGAGAAAAGAACTGTATCATTTGTGTTCCCTTCATAAAGAGAAATTCAAAAAATATGAAATTGATGAAATTGCAAAAAATCGTGGGATGACGGTGGTTAGATCCCCACCATATCATTGCGAAGTAAACCCGATTGAACTGATATGGGCACAGATAAAGGGAGAAGTTTCAAGAAAAAATTCTTTTTAAAATGATGTTAAACAGTTGTTTTTGGAGGGCTATAAATAATGTGAAGCCTGAAAACTGGGAAAGGCAGTAAATCATACGATTAAAGAAGAAGAGAAAATGTGGAAGTTGGACAATATTACTGATGAAATGATCGAGCCACTCATTGTAAATATTGGTTGCGACAGTTCATCTTCTGATTTCGATTCTGATTTGGATTTGTAGGTAAGAAGTAGTTTTTATATTAAAATTATTATTTATGAACGTAACGTTGTTTAAAAGTCAAAGTTTAAACCCTTATACCTACATAACCCGTTTGACACAATGTTCTTAACATACCTTGTGGAAAAATAAAACATTTTAGAAAAAATTGCACTTTTTTACCTTCAGCTGTTTAGAAGTTATAAGCAGGTTAATTAGGTGAAAATATAAGTGTATACTCAAGGAAAAACTTCAAAAAATATTTTAACTGTCTACTAAAAGAAGTGGTATGCCTATGGATTACGAACGCTTTATTATTTTAATACTATCTCATACATAAAAGTATGAGTATTTACTATTTTTTTAAAATTGTTTTTTACTTAATTAATTATCTACAAATTATGTCCGTAAAAATAGCGATTTAAGTTAGCTAACATAACATCTTTCAACTATTAAAATAATAACCTAATATGTCAACAGTATTACCAACCTATAATATAATCTCTTTATTATTACCTTGATTATATCAAGATTGTTATTATACTTAATGTTTCTATTTAATAACAAATTTATAATTTTTCAATTTTCACATTCTTTTTTTGTAGAAATTATATGATTGCAACTCAAAACTCATGGACTTTACTTTACAAGAAAATGTATTGATTATTACTAACAACCATATTGGTGACAAGAAAATTTATAAATCTGTAAGTAAATACATTGATGAAAAAAAAACACAAGATAATAAAAAAGCAATTAACGATTTTTATGATTGCTTAGGATACGTTGAAGACATTCAAATCGAATATCCAAATAGGATTTAAAAAATGTTACAGAATACTTAATATTTATTATCAAAATAAATAAATAATTTCATTTACCGTTTGTTGTGTTTATTTTAATAGTATGTTTTGCTGATAAATCCTTTAAGGATTACTAAATATCAATGTGTATGTTATTTTATAATTTTCAGGACGGAGACAATCTTGATACATTTATTTCTAATTTATAAACGAACTAATGTCTTAAAATACTGAAATATCGCAGATATTCTACAAATAAACTTTTTAAAATCTACAGAAACACATAAAAAAATGGTCACTAATCTCTTTTATACCGTAGCGACAAACGTCTACGAATTATCAATGTTATGTTATGTTGATAATGGGGTGTTAATACACTGCGACCTAAAAGATCTATTGTGTCCCCTTCTGTCGCCACTGCACTAAGGAAATATCTCAATGCCTATAGCGTCCCTTCCAATCCTATTTTCTCAAGGAAGTGTAGGATTTGAAGTGGCTTCAAGTTAGGTAAGTCTCCCTCTTCTATTTGATATCCTCCTAGATATAGTGCCTTTGGATTCTGGAGTGCTACACATTCAGTTAGGATGTGAAGGGAGGTTTCGTCCTCCTCCTCACAGAATCTGCACTCACTATCCTCTACTACTCTCAGTTTACTTAGGTGTCCTTTTAGTCGGCAGTGACCGGTAAGGATCCCTGTTACAATACGTAGCCTGTTCTTGCTCAGGCAGATGCAGGCTTCCGATCTTTTTTTGGTTATATTCACCCAGAAGTATCTTGGCCTGTCTCAGCCCCAAGAGATTGTTCCAATTATCGGTTCTTTTTTAATCTCTCCTAATATAATGTTACTGCTGATACCGCAGAACGGCTCAGGTCCTACAAAGGGTGTTCGAGCCCCTTTCCTTACAAGACTATCTGCAATCTCGTTACCCTGTACCCTGTTATGTCCCGGGACCCAAGTGAGAGTAACTCTATTTTTCTCGCCTAGCTCATTCAATTGTTCTAGGCATCTCCAGACCATTTTTGAGCTGATTACGTAAGAACTCAGCGCTTTGATGGCTGCTTGACTATCGAACATGATGATAATCTTTTGTCTATGATAGTTTCTCTCGAATTATCAATAGTAGTGCCCCAATTTTTCCCCAATAAACTGAAAAAAAAAAAAAAAAACCGCTAGATCTAGTGAGAAAACTGCTAGGTTTGGCAATACTGTCTACGTATTTCATTTATCTAAAAAAGAAATTTCTATTTCCTTGCCACATATTTTAAATTCTCTTCCCCTTCCCCTCCCACCTTTATTATGTCGACCATATTTCAACTTCATATTCGTTTTGCGTAAAGAAATTCGGTTAATTCAGTCAACAATCGGCATTATCGAGAAACCGCGATAATCTAAACAGCTATCGGCGCTGTGCCTGGCACGGACATTCCTTGATTTTACCGTTTAAATACATGTAAAATGTCCCCATCTCTGTTGCTCACATAGGCTGCTGGTAAAATCTCTTTTTCCTAGTGCCAGCTGAGAAACGGCTCCTGTACGCGGCAAGAGCTTGGAGATTTATGCAGTGCGAGGTTGCTAAATTTCAAATATAAAAAGAAATGCATAAAATAAAAATATGATAAGACGTCTTAAAAATAAAAAAATATATGTTTGCATCAAAAATAAGATAGTGCCATGGTACAGTGGCACTACATCACGAGCAGCCACTGCGAGTGGTTTAAGTCGGTTCAATGTGGTAGCAGCCCTTGTTGAAATATTGGAATAAGCTGGACTTAGACCCCTCGTAAGGATATCAGACTAGTCTTAAATTTTTTCTAATATTATTATCTAGTTTTATACCGATCCTTAAAGTGTTAACTTTTTCCCTTCTGTACCAAATAGCTTTTTCCAATATTTAAAGAAGGGCTGCTACCCCTTTGAACCAACTTAGATCCCTCTTAAGGAAATAAGACTTGTCTCAAATTGTTTATAATATTATTTTTTATTTGTATAGCGTTTTCTAAAGTTTTAACCTTTTTAAAGACGCTATTGATCTTTCGGGCATCTTAGGGAAATTAGCCGCTAGCTTTTGGCTGCCAAGTTCACACCGATAACAAGTTCTATAGCCATTATCGAGATATAACTGACAATTATAGGTAGGTATACTAGAAAAAGTAAATTCAATTGCTTAGAAATCGACGAAAAGTAGACTTTTGAAAAAAATTTGAAATTTGCGTGGGTCGATAGAGCTCCCTCCGTACTTCATTTTAGGGCCTGCCCCGTGAACACCTGGGTCTCTTACCGTTTCCGAGATATTCGCGTTTGAAGTTTTTGAACTTGAATAGTGCCTAAACTGCTCAAGATAGAAGCGAAAGGCAAACAGCACCCTAATACTAGGGAATATAGTAAAAACTGTTGGGTATATTGAAAACATATATTTTAGAAGAAATTTAAAAAATTGTCAGTAGACATGAGAAGTTCTACAAACCAGTGGCGTAATTAGGTAGAGTGTCGCCGGGTACCAGACCCAAAAGTCGCACCTGCAGGGATGTGCGGACAATTAAACCTAATAAGTACAAGGTTCATTAATTGAAAAGCTCTACAGGTATAGGAAGACTCATTATGTTACATGCTAGTTTTGAAGAAGGTTCTGTAGAAAATACATTATTGGTTTTTAAAGACGAAAAGACGGGAGATTACCATGAAGAAATGAAATCCGAAGTATTTTTGTGTTAATGACATGAATGCTTAAAGAAGTAAATCAGGCTGACTAAACACACCTTTAGGCAAATAAAACCTTACTGGTTTATGTATTATTACTAAAACCTCACCCTGTATGTACTGTGGTTTTAATAACATCGTTTTATGGAATTATTTTGCATTATACAGGGTGTCCCGAAATTAGACTGTCATATTTTACCAGCGTAATCTACATCGTAAAATAGCAGTAAAAGTTCATACAAACATAGGTCCGAAAACATTTCGTTTCTGAGATACAGGGTGTTAAAAGTGAAATCCTGATGACACATTTTTGTAAATATTTTCTAAACATTTAAAGATAAAGTGAAATTTGGTACACATATTTACCTTTTTACGCTTTATTTAATGGACTAAACCCTAGTTTTTGATCATCTTTATAGGTGTGTAAATTAGGGGGGGCTTAAGGTAAAATTGCTCTAAGTTTTTTTTGTTGACAGTTTTTAACACTTTTGACTACAATTTGGAAAAATAAAGAAATTTTAGAAAATATTTACAAAAATATGCCTTTAGGACTTCACTGGATCGTATTCGAGATATATAAAAAAAGTGTAAATTATGAATTTTGATGATAACTCAAAAACGGATAAAGAAAAAAACAGTGAATTTTAAATTTAAGCTTTGGTCTATCCTACGATTAGCTGATTAGATTTTGGGTACAGTCGGAACATCTGGGGGTATTTTATAGAGGGTCGTTTTTCTACTTTATGGAATATATCTGTCATTTAAGCTTGGAGAAGAAAATTCTTCAGATAAAAGTTGCTTGTAATATTATTATCTATAATTTTCCTAAAATGGTTCGTACTCGAGAAATTTGACAAAATGTTAAAAATCCACATTTTCAAAAAACGTTTTTCAATTAAAGATGTTTGTGATTTTATTCCCTATAATTCTTGTTCTGTACATAATTTCTCTAAAATGGACCGTATTCGAAATATTTAAGGAAAAGTGTAAATTTTGAAATCCGCATTTTTAAGAAAATGTTTTCAATAGAAGTTGTTTGTGATTTTATTCCCTATAATTTTTATCCTATGCATAATTTTTCTAAAATAAACCGTATTCGAGATATTTGAAAAAAGTGGACATTTTGAATTATGATAACTGAAAAACGGATAAAGAAAAAAACACCAAATTTTAAATTTGAGCTTCAGTCTATCCTGCGATTAACTTATTAAATTTTGGAAATGGGCGGAACATCTGGGGGGTATTTTATAGGGGGTCGTTTTTATATTTTATGGAATATATCTTGTTTACGTTTAGAGAAGAAAATTAGTTAAATTAAAGTTGTTTGTAATATTATTCTCTATTTTTCTCCTACACATAATTTTCCTAAAATGGTCCGTACTCGAGAAATTTGACAAAATGTTCAAAAATCCACGTTTTTAACGAAATTTTTCCAATAGAAGTTGTTTGTGATTTTATTTTCCACAATTCTTGTCCTATAAATAATTTCTCTAAAATGGACCGTATTCGAGATATTTGAAGAAAACTCATAAAAGGTAATTTCACTATTTTGTGTTTTAAATATAATGAAATAAAAGACCTACGAAAATATTTTTTTTATACAATATTTCCAAATTACCATTTAAAAAATACAACGTACTAGTATAATTAATAAAAAAAACTAAAACAATAAAATATAAATTATAATAGAATATAATATATGTAGATTAAAAAATTATATATTTGTATAAAAATAATCAGAAAAAGACATTCATTTTAATTTTTTTAAAAAATATGATATGAAAATACAATAGTTTGGATCAATATTTTAACTTTTTTTCTCTTAATTATTTCCTGCAATTAAAGAGCTTCAATCATGATAGCGATACCTTGTCCTCCTCCTATACATGCTGATCCTATTGCATATTTTCCACCTCTCCTCCTAAAAAATATTAATAATAATGAAAATGTATCTAAAATACAACTTAAAACAAATTGAATATCATCATTATCTAGGTATCTGTTTTTACTTACTTCAATTCATAAACAAGATGTCCTGTAATTCTAGATCCTGATGCAGCCAAAGGATGTCCTAAAGCGATAGCTCCACCATTTACATTGAATTTGCTCATATCCAATTTCAAATCTTTAGCACAGGCTAAAGCTTGGGCACCAAAGGCTTCATTAATCTATAATAAAAAATTTAAACCTTTTATGTATAGAAAAAAAAAAGAAAACACAAAAAGAAACATAAAAGACAAACAAAAATACAAACAAAAAAAGAAAAAAAAAAGAAAAAAAGAAAAAACAAGCAAGAACAAAAACCTACTTCAATCAAATCGATGTCGTTTAACGTTTTTCCAGTAATTTTAAGAATATTCTTGATAGCTGGAGATGGACCGAAACCCATAATCGAAGGATCGACACCAACAACTGAGTGCGCGACTATCCTAGCTAAGGGTTTCAAATTGTGTTTGCTCAAAGCAGCTTCACCAGCAAGAACCACAGCAGCTGCTCCATCGCATATACCCTAAAAACAACATCAAAAATTACAATTTCCTCAAAAGGATTTGAGAATTTGATTACCGATGCACTACCAGCAGTAACCAAACCATCCTTTTTAAAAAGCGTGGGCAGCTTCTTCAACCCTTCTAGAGTGGTTTGAGGTCTAGGATGTTCATCAACTTCGAAATTTACTGTGTCTTTTTTTACTTTAATTGGTACTGGAACAATTTCGTCTTTGAATTTTCCTGCATCTTGGGCTAAAAGAGATATCACTTTTGTCAGTATTTAAATTGTATATTATGTAACAAAAGCAAATAAGCAAGACAAGGACGTAAAGCAATTTTAGGAGTAAGATTATTGTGAAAAATCATCAAACATTAAATATACACAACTTTGATCATTTTTCCCAAAACTTTCGCAATGATCTTATCCTTTATATCAAAGCATATTATCGTAAGAACTATTCTATACAAAATTTAAGTCTATTCTATTCTAACTAGTTGGCTGACTGTGAAAAGTATTTAAAACACCGATTACTGTTTGATACCAGTCACCATTTAAAAGGGGAACCCATAGAGTTCAGGTCCCATCTATACGGTGGAATATATGAGTTAAATAAATGAGGCTGCAATGCCACCATGTAAACCCAGATGAGAGAAGGTATGCTAGAACCCAAGCCTCAGGGTGAAAACAGAGGGATGTCTGAGAGGATGAAGAAAAAACAAAAATAATAATTCCATGCTAATTTAACTAAGACTTCACTTCACCTGCTTTCCATCTCTGTTGGGACTGGAAAGAAAATTGGTCGACCTCGTCTTTAGTAAGCTTGAATTGATCCCCGAGTTTTTCAGCCGTTAAAGCCATTGACAATTTACAGTATGTATCTTGGACGCTTAACCAAATTGTATCTTCTAAAACCGGACTGTGTCCCAAAGGAACGCCGCCGAATCTAATGTTTCTGACAACGTATGGAGAAGCGGACATGTTTTCAACTCCGCCTGTTAGGGAGATTTCTGCGCATCCTGTCTCTATGTCCTGACAAAATTAAAATGTATTTATAGACTATTTGAATTGTTAATTAAAAATGTATATTAAAAGATAAATACAAAAACTAGACGTTTGTGAGACTGCGTTCTAAACAATCCCATTTCCGAGAGAATACCAGAAAGTTCTATTTACATGTACTAACTTATAAAGTTAGGAGTTTCGTTTTGTCCCTAACTGTCTAAAGATCACCGACACAACGACGACAGCATTACGAGATCATTCTACATAAGCCTCGAGTTGTAAGGACCATAACAGGCATACATTTTGTGGCGAATTCATCAAAAAATCTAACGATAATGAGATTTTGGATCTAAAATAATTCAATACTAAAAATGCTGTTATTGACAAGTCTGTTGAAATAGCAGAGTGGTTTCAAGATAATGTTAAAGACAAAATTTTAAATAAATTATCGGAATTTGCGGAGAAAGATAGTGGGTGGGCATTAAGTAAAATTATATCATTAGCAGTAAATATTAATAAATATGAAATGGGAAACGGCTCATCTTACATTAAATTACCTGAGGCAATTTTAAAAAAAACAAGCTTGCATTAATATTAAAAATACAGATCAGGCTTGCTTTTATTCGTCTATTACTAGTGCTCTTCATCCGTAAAAATAAAGCTCGAACCTCCTCGTATCCATATTACAAACAATTTCTACAAACAGAGGATTTAGATTGTCCAATGGAATTAAACCAAATTCCAAAATTTGAGAAACTGAACCAAATATCAGTTAATGTTTATGCTTTGGAATTGAACGAGACGGAGAAAAAACATTTTACACAGTAGTACCGGCTAGACTGACAAAAAATAAATTAGAGAAGCATGTCAATTTACTTTTAATTCAAACTAAATATTACCCAAAATTAAATGATTACGATGCTCCACCAGTTGATGATGTAGACGAAGAGATTAAATTTCATTATTGCTGGATCAAAGATTTGTCACGATTAGTTAATATGCAACTTACTAAAAATACACACAAAAAATATATATGTGACAGATGTTTAAATTATTTTACTAGTAAAGATAAAATAGCTGAACATGAAAAACTTTGCTGTAAATTAAATAAGTATAAAATGAGTGTTCCTCAATTTGATTTTGTCGAATTTCGAAACTTTACATATCAGCAAACTACCCCGTTTGTCGTTTATGCTGATTTTGAATGTCAATTAGAAAATTTTAATCAACCTAGTATAACTAAAACATCAAAATATCAGAAACATGAACCGTATAGTGCAGGCTACTATGTAAAATGTTCATATGATGACAGCCTTTCTTATTTCGATAGTTATCGCGGTGAAGATTGCATGGATTGGTTTGCAGATCGAATAATTGAAAAAACCAGATACATGTGATGCAAAAACTTGTCATATATGTAATAAACGGTTTTCACCCAAGGACATAATTGTAAGGGACCATGACCAGTTGAACGGATCGTTTAGAGGATTTGCGTACCAAGCATGCAATCTGAATTTTCGAAAATTGTTTGTTGTGCCAGTGGTCTTTCATAATCTAAATGGGTACAATCGTCATTTTATGAAGACGAATTTATGTAAAAATGGTTGTTTGAGCTTACTTCCGATCAATAAGGATAAATATATTTCATTTACTCTTCATTCAGATGATACTAACATTAAATTACGTTTTATAGATTCATTGCGATTCATAAGATGAATGAGCTTCAATTTTAGATAATTCAGAAAAGAAAAGAAAGTTTTTTGCTATGATTATGTAGATTCTTTGGAAAAATTAAACGAAACTTCATTACCATCAATTCAACACTTTTACAATAAATTAAATGATGAATATATTAGTGATGAGAAATACGCTCATGCACAAACAATTTGCTATTGAGGATTTGGGGCAATACTCAGACCTATATTTAAAAACCGATATTCTGCTTCTTGCAGATGTTTTCGAACAATTTGGCCAAAATTGTTCTAAAATATAAGGTTTAGATCCTGCATGGTATTACACTATGCCTGGCTAAACTTAGGACTGTATGCTCAAGTATACTAAGTGTGAGCTAGAACTGCTTAAGGATCTAAACATGGTGATGTTTTACGAAAGCGCCATAAGAGATGGAATATCGGTTAGTAGTAGCCGATATTCAGAGGCTAATAACAAATATATGACTGAGTATGATCCTACGAAACCTTCAAAATTTCTAATGGACCTAGACGTGAATAATTTATACGGGAAATCTATGTGTGAATTACTACCCTACGGAGGATTCAACTGGGTTGAAATCATCGACAATTTTGACTCTAACGTAGGGTACGTTCTTCAAGTTGATTTATCGTACCCACGAGATCTGCATGACAAACATAAAGATTTTCCATTTGCTGCCGAAAACTGCGTTCCACCAGAATCAAAATTACTGACAACCCTTACGGATAAAAAAGAATACACAGTTCACTATAGAAATTTAAAACAAAGTTGGCTAATGGATAAATTATAACTAAGATTCATAAAATTTTGAAATTTCAACTGGCAGCTCGATCAAGGACAGCATCCAAGAATGAATTTAAGAAAAATCTTCTTAAGCTAATGAACATTGCAGTCTTTAGTAAGACAATGGAAAATATACGCAAGCACCGTATAGTTAAGCTAATTAAATCATGGCTGAGACGTTATGGAGCCAAAAATTTCATCTCAAGTTTTCGGTTCCATAGTCGTACAATTTTAGGTGAAAATTTGATGGCTACTCCTAGGGTGGCCACAAAAAAATTTTAATCCATACCTAGCTACGCGGACCGGCATTAACACCAACGGCCTACACACAGCTCACCTACTCTGACAAGATGTTTCGCGTGTATATAACTTTTTGAATTGCGTACAAATTAGCGTGCACCTAGACACTGTGTTATAAAAAAGCTTCGATTAAAGACTAGATTTATTATTAAACTATCGATTTTAATTTATTTTATTGACTTTAGATGATCCAGTGCTGAAAGGGTGTTCAACATTTTTTTTTAATTTTGTAGAAGTCAAGTTCAAACATGACATAAAAACTGTATAATCAGTTTTATAAAATCAACTAAATATTAAAAATACTTTTTTTCATACATCTAACTGCATCTCACCCCATAAGGTAAGTCAGAGGGTACCCGAAACCCATATTGATGGATTCAGAAAAAATATATAAATACCAGATGATTCTTTTAAATTACATTGCTGACACCATCTTTAGGTCGCCCTGTGCGCCTCGGCAAATAATAATAATAGCCGTTTATTTCCCAAGACAAGCAGAGCCGCCGAGAGTCAGGTCGGGCCCCAGGACAATTCTCCAGATTGGGCCCCCCGACAATTTTATAAAAATTAAAAAAAAGGTCATCAACCAAGAACTTCCCCCCTCTTGTGTCGAACTTTTGAAAGTAACAAAAAATCCTCCCCACAGTTGCCGGGTCCACCTTATGCCGCTGCCAGGCCCCCATTTGAGCCTGGGCCCCGGGAATTAGTCCCGGCTGCCCCCCCCCCCCTCTAGTCGGCCCTGAAGACAAGCTTAGCTTTTAGGGTTTAAATTCACTTGTAAGGGGGTGAATTAGGGAAAGTATTATTAATAGTATATCTTGATAAATATGACTGATGACGAAAATCGTCAAAAGTCATTAAATAGTCCATAATATATACGAAAAAAATTTCAGTACAATCCATAAGTGAGTCACAAATGTCTCCCAATTATGTATATCAATTCTATAACCACCTTACCATCCAGACCTTGTGACAGGAAGTGGTGTAACGAACATTTTTATATTACTTTCGTTGGGATTTTTATTTCGTATTTTTATATTTAATATTTTTAACAATTTTCGAGTGCACCTTGTATAGTGTTTAGTTTTGGATTCGATATAGAGAGAAGCGTCTACGCGACGATGACACTGCGCAACGCCAGAAGTAGGGAGTGGAAGATGATAAAAACTCTGGGAAACGACAAGCCGGTAGCTTTCCCTTTTGTACATTCATTCCACCTCTGTTTTCCTTTTTTTATCTCTGAAGATTTTTATTTTAATCAAAGGGATGGTTTAATATTTAGATAGAAGGTAGAAGCTTTTTCTTTATTGTTCTTAAGGTGAATTGTTGTAAACTCTGCATTAGAGCTTTGTTTATCGATTAAAGGTATTAATTTATAAAATTATTGTAGAATACTCGTAAAAACTACTTGAAACGATTATTGTCCAACGGTAAAACATGTTTTTTTAAGTATAAACCGAAACTTGATACATACTGCAACTGTAAATGGTTGGTTGGCATTTTATGACTATTATTAGTTACATAAAAATAAATTAAATTCATCCATCTGCTGACAAAATCGCTTTGCAATACCAAGAAATGATTTTGATCCTGTAAATTCCAATTCAGCTTATTCACTTATTATTTATTTACCTAAATACACAAAATATTTCTAACGATCTAAAAAACATTTAAATGTGTCATGTGGAATTATAATTAGAATTTAACAAATAAATTATCTTCAATCACAACAAATATTATGACCATCAATGATATTACTTAAACATTTCAAGATTCATACTTTATTTAAATCGCGAATATCAATAATAATCACACTACTTGTTTAACTGTAATATCGAAGTAAATCACCTGCTTTCCATCGCATTTGAGAATTACAAGAGTACTCATCGACTTCTTCTTTAGATAGGCGAAATTGTTCTCCTAGCTTTTCTGCGGTTAGAGCCATTATAAGGTTGCAATATGTATCATTTCGTATCAAGGTTTCTTCCAAAAGGGGACTAAAGCCTAAAGGATTATCTCCAAATCGTATATTTCTAACAGGGTAAGGTGATGCTGACATTATATCTACTCCTCCTGTTAGAATTATCCCAGCTCCTGAATATATATCCTAGGCAAATAATTTTTTATTTATATTTAAACAGATTAAAGATAAATTTTAAAGACCACATAATAAAATGAATTGGACATAAGTTATTAAAATAATTTTGAAAAACTGATTCCAAAATCGTGAAGTTGAGTTTTCCGATTTTCTCATGGATCCAATTGAAACCAAATAGGCGAAATTTATATGGGACAGTACCCCCTTCCTAACAAAAAAATACTCAAACGAATTGAGAACCTCCTCCTTTATTTTTAAGTCTGTTTAAAATGAATTCCACCTATTTGAACAAAGAAGATAAAATATAAAAAAATATTTATTAATTAAGATAAACATTACAAAATAAAGATATAAATGGTTTGCAGAATGACCAAAAATAATTGGGAACGATATGATTATGGTTTGGGATCAACACAAACCAATTGTTTAGGACTGTATCAGTGAGCGATTTGTAGCCTAAGTGTATAATTTATAGGCTACAATAAGTGATTTATAACCTACAGTGAGTGATTTATAGGCTACAGTAAGTGATTTATAGCCTGCAGTGAGTGATTTATAGCCTACAGTGAGTGATTTATAGCTTACAGTGAGTGATTTATAGGCTACAGTGAGTGATTTATAGCCTATAGTGAGTGATTTATAGCCTATAGTGATCGCTTGCATATTTATCGCCAGCTAATACATACACTGTGTGCCATAAAATTGGATTCATATGGAAATGTATTTTTTAATTTTACAGTTAGTAAGGAACGTCCTGAAGGAATTACAAGGATGTATTAGGATTTATCGAGGATGTACGTGAATGTAAGAAAATTTATAAGGATTTCTCAAGGATTATGATGATTTCTTGAGGATATAAAAATATTTTACATGAACTTATTTGTCACAAAACTAACAAAAAATTGCAATTGCACTAAAATAAAATAGATATAAAAGTTTTTATTTTTTGTGACATTCTAGTACTAACCCTGAGTAAATTTATGGTCTATTCAGGGTGAGTAGTGCTTGTCTGCTATCTGTATAGATGAGCATGTTCCTCCAGTGATATTAATTCTGGTGATTGGATCAGGAGAAAGTCGATTCCATCAAACAGTGGCTACAACCAAATGATAAACATAAAATAAGAAGTTTTCTTGGACTCAATACGTACTACCGTTAAGTTATTAACACGATTACAGAAGAAGAGAAATAATTTTTGTGGGACGAGGACTGCCAAACTGTCTTTGAAACATTAAAGAAGTATTTAGCAACAGCGCTAATACTATGCTACCCAGTACCAGAGGAAGAATTTATTCTGGATACTGATGTGGAAATTTGAGGAGTGCTTTCACAGATTCAGGAAGGGAAAGAAAGAGTACTAGGTTGTTTTAGTAAAGTGCTTTCTAAATCTGAAGGAAATTACTGCATCACCAGAAGAGAACTTCTGACGTGGAAATTATACCATGATTTATAGGACAATATAAAAGAAGTCCATGCATTTTTGACTACCTGGAAGATATCGACTAAGACAATAAAATTTAAATTTTGAACATTTAAAAAGTACTTTTTTATCTTTTCTAATGTCTAATAGTGAGAGGAAATTTTTTTAAGACTTTAACATTTTGAATTTTTCACCTAACATTGTTATAGCATTTATGCGGTACAGCTAAGCAAATATGTATCACAAAAGCTAAATAAAAAGCAAACTGCTTCTTGATAGTATAGTTGAAAGAACAATTTATCGTATTTTAAAAGACGGCACGAAAAAAAGACAAAATCGAATAGACAAACATCATGAAAATGAACTGAGAACTTTTATGGCGAATATGATTGCGACATTTTTTTTTCTTCGACAATTATTGACTAGAACTCCACTAGGTCTGTTCCAACAACAATCACAAAGATTCTACGCAATAGATTATTTGACTGGATAGGTTTTGATCGTAGTTGGACCAGACCTACAAGTATTCGCATCTACTGATCCTTCACCTGCTTTCCACCGCTGCTGTGATCCTAAAGAAAATTGATCTACTTCATCTTTGGTAAGTTTGAATTGTTCCCCAAGTTTTTCGGCTGTCAGAGCCATGGTTAAGTTGCAATAGGTATCGTTGCTGGCTGTCCAAAATGAGTCTTCTAAAACGGGACTGAATCCCAATGGGATTCCACCGAATCGTATATTTCTGACAACGTGAGGAGCAGCGGACATTATTTCCACTCCTCCTGTTAGAGATATTTCGGCTAGTCCTGTCGCAATATCCTGGATGTAGGATCATAACCGTTAATATTTTTATGCCAAAAGAGTTTTCAATAAAAAAAAACTTTTACAGTTTTTTTCAAAAACAGACAGAATATTTATAATATTAAATTGTATGAATAGATTTTCTACAAAAAATTACTATATATATATTTTTTGGTCTAAACTACTGGTTATCTAAATCCCCATGTCTCCCCACCATTATTTCCATTAATGGAGATATTATTGTATTGGAAAAATATATTGATATTAAGTCTATTCTGTTATTATAGTATTTTTAATACAAATTCCGTTGCACGTCATCAGTGACGTTAGTCTATCGTCATAGTACTACTATGCATTGTCATCATATGTATCGGCCGTCAAATCAATTCCCAAAGCATTATTTCCAAAGAAGGCTCAATATTAAACTGATCGATTATGCCAAAGCAATAGGTGATATCGTTGGTTCCATGTAAATAACTTTTGTATGAAGAATCTTTAACAATAGAAGTAGAATATATATTTATTTCTCTGGTACAGACTATGTTGAAAAATTATTACCATCACACCAAACAATAACGGAGAATAGTATCCTCACATCATTCTTATCGATACATTATTCATAAACTTTTTTAACATTTTATTCTTTGTCTTTTCAATATTTCGAAAGGAACGAAATTACATCGTTCATTCTGCAAGTGAGGTATAATATTATACAAAGACTATAAATGACCTACGTACACACAAAGACAACCCTGTTTTTTCTAGCTTTTTCAGGGTACTAAACCATAACTAAAACTCCACAAAGATATAAACACTTTCCCATTTTCGATCCAAAACCCTTCATAACCCCTCAATGATACCGCATGGGCAATGGTTCGTTTTCAAGTAAACTTGCCAAAAACTATCAATAAATACTTAACAATATTGCAAGCTTGCAAATAATGGGATACAATCCATTTATTCACAAAATCTGATAGTCCAGGATATCCAAAACGCGTGTCACCAACTCTCTTCAAAACGAACTGCAGTTATCATCCTTTGGATTCCATCCCATGTGGGCAGATCAAGCCGCAAAAGAAGCCTGTTCCTTAGATACGACACGCCAGAAAAATCTTTTCCAAGACAAAGAACCTTTTAAAGTACCTGGTAAATTGATTGGAGTACCCTCAATACAAAACTGCACAAAGTTCAACCCAATATTATTACACCTATGATGCGTCTACGACCAGAAAAGACAAGGCCATAATAAGAAGACTTATATTAGGCCATTCTCGTCTCTCCCATGGGTTTTTCATCGTCTCCGAGAATCCTCCTGTGTGTGAACACTACAACAGAACCCCTAAAATTTTAAAATTTCCTACATTTTTCGATTTATGACATGCCTCGGTATTTGTATCAAAAATACTATATATGTAATTAATTATTTTACTGTGAAAACGACCTCAACTAATCAGTGTATAATTTGTAACAATAATTTGTAACATTCAAAAACAATTTACTACTACATGTAAGTAAATTGTTTTTAGATAAAAAAAATTAGATAAAAGTTTCAGATAAACTCACTATCTGAAAACCATAATTAAATATATTTTTACTTCGCTGTGATTTAAAGAAAGACTTTAATTTAAAAAACTACACTTTTTACTGAAAATGATTGTACCCAAACCTGATCTGTGATTAGTTGATTCTACTATTTTTTGCAAATAGTTTTTGTATTTTTATTTTATTTTATATTATTTTTTATTCATAAATACGACTATTTTGTAAGAATGCTTCCTGTTGTTTTGAGAATTTAATTAATTTAACTTACAGTAAGTTTTATTGGTTATACAAATTATTACGATCATTAATTAACCAATAATAATAATAATAATATCTTTAAGTATCTTATAGCTAATAATCTTAGGGTGGATGCGAAATTTGGTTTAGAATGATTATTTCTTCGCATATTAAAGAAACTGAACATTGAACTTCCTGAAATATATATAAAAAAATAAGTATCCAATACCGGTTACACTAATCCAATAATTATTTTACCTTTTATATAAAATGAAATTAAAAAATTCGGTCAATGTTGGTTTTATCAACTTACTTGTAAACCACTAACGATGGCTTGAAATCCTGATCCGCATAATCTGTTGACAATGAGTGCTGGTTTGTCAACTGGAACACCAGTTTTTAATAAAACATGTCTTGCAAGATATCCTCCATCAGAAGCTGCGGACTAAAACGACAAAATTAAGACAAAAAAAATGAAACCAATAATCAATAATTTTAGATTTTCTTCAAATTTAGTATACCTACACATAGGCGCCGTCACACGAGAGTAACGGGGGCATCTGCCCTCAGTATAGTCAGCGACGTTCTGAACTTGCTTATAAAACTTGTCAACCTGAAATTTTTTGAGACGGCGCCCATGTACCTACGTATGTATTTAAGTAGTATAAATATATGTATACAGGGTTGAAAAATATTAAAAACCCATTGATACAAGAAGTATTTAAAATGATATAGAGAAATTCGTTTATACGTTGACAGGTAGTACTTAAGAAACGTGACATTTACGTCAAAATATATAAATATACTTACTGAAATAACGTTTCCTATGACAACTGAATCGACAATTTCGGGGTTTACGTTTGCAGCTGCAAGGGCAGCTTTCGCTGCGATAGTTTGAAGATCTGTGATGTGGCTTTTTGCCAGTTTACCACCAAAAGTACCAAAAGCAGTACGTTTGGCACCGACGATAAAAATTCCTGAAAATTCAAATGTTCTTTTACACTTTAAATATTTATGAAAACAAAACAAACATAAATTTAGTGCCAAATGCAGTGGCGTAGCAACGGGGGAAGGGGGGGATGGAGGTCAGAATACCCCCCTAAGGAGGGTCTTCAGGTCACCATTTTCGATATAGTGTTGGCGCTGACCGCTATATTGACTATTTGTTTTTATTCACATTCTTAATGGAACCCCCCTCATAGCTCTCAGAAACCCCTCTCATGAAAAATGGCTAGTTACGATACTGGTCAAAAGTTAATAAAAATATGATATATTTGGAAGAGTGTGGCTATTTTCTATTTCTGAATATAATTTTTAAAGTGTAAAAATTTCATTAAAAAAAAAAAAAAATCTACCAATTATTTCATTACATTTATTGCCAAAGTTTCAATAAAGGTCTTGTTTCTTCTTGGGGGCTCCATACACATTGAAAGGTAATGAGTGTAGCTACCTTGTATATATAGTAATTGCTATGCATGTCATGAGGTGTAATGAGTTTAATTTAAGTACCTCTCGGTTATTACTATTGTAACGTACACGCGTTTTGTATCCTAAGTACATTCTAAATAATAGACATATTTGTTTTTCATAAATGGGGAAAGAAGTCCGCACATCCTTGACTCTCAACCACCATGATTAGAGTGAGGAACCGGCCGGGCGCAAGCATACACGGCATGAATATCTAGGCAGGAGCTTAGAAAAAGTGGGGGATTTAATTAACAAATAATTCTGTACTCACTGTACTGAGTCTAATTGCATAGTAAGAAACTTTCAATGTGTAATGAGCATCGCAAGTACTTTTCAATACTCCATTCACATGTAGGTACCTTGTTGTTTATAGTATGTATACAATGTGTAATAAAGTTATAGTAAGTACTTCCCCATTACTTCAAATACAATGAAGTGGTATGAGTGTAAGTACCTTATGTGTAGTAATTGCTATGTATATCATGAAGTGTAGTAAGTATAATCTAAGTACGTCTCGGGTATAACTATTGTACCGTACAGAGCGTGAATATCGAAGAAGCTTAAAAGAGGTGGGGGATTTTTGTGAGGATATATAGTAGCGTACGTATCCAAAAAGTTTAAACATCGTGAGCTTCCACAGTGTATGGTTTCGAAACGGCTAAAAATATCTTATTTCAATACAAAATACATACAAAAACGGAAAAAAATACCATCAGAATAATTACAATATCTTTCTCAAACATTTAAAACAAAAAATAAGTAAAATGCAGAAACATTGGCATACAACTTTTTCAATTAAATAACCTATTATGTTTGGATTAGTGGAGATCTACGTATAATGCGCAAACCTCGAACTCAGGTAAAAAAGGCCGGGGTCCTTTAGGTATCTAGTTGGGCTGTTTAGTAGAAATATGTGTTTTTTATGGTCGCCATCTATAACGAAGTTTAGTAGGGCGATGAGATTTGATAGAACCCTGTTTTTAATAGTTTTCGTATTATTTATTGTGGGTAGAAAACTACAATATTTTAAGAACAAATATTTATTTTTTTATATAGATAGACAATATTTAACTCAAACGAATGTATAATTAGAGTACTTTTTAATAGTGATATGAAATACAGGATGTTACATTTAAAAAAATTGAGAAAATCATGTATCTGAGTTTTTTGACTCACCCTGTACACGTCTGTTGCGATATTAAAAACAATAAAACAAAAAACAATATTAAAGAAGAACCAAATACTTAGAAAAGATTTTTTTAACATTAATTGGGGTTTATTCTGTAATAATTCCTTTATATTTAACGGCCTTTAAAAATATTGGCGGCCTTTAAAAATATGTTCGTATTTGTTAATTTACTTCTGTCATTATTTAAACAGATTTCTTTAAGATAGTCCTCTAATGTATTTTAAAGATGCGTTTAAATAATGACAGAAGTAAAGAAGAAAATATTTTTAAAGGCTGTTAAATATAAAGGAATTGTTACAGAATAGACCCCATTGTTGGCAATTTAAACCTATTTTTTTGGTAGCTATTTTTTCATAATCATTTTAACCAAAATAATATGAAAACAGACACAGAAAACAAACCTATGAGGCAACTAAAAGGTTGTTTATTAGTTGTTAGGAAATCATGATGTGTACTTTGCATCAAAGAAATATTAAAAACCGTTATCAGCAAAAATATTATTATGCATTTTAGTAATATAAATAACTGTTTATAAATAGGTATCTGCTTTTTTAATTTGATATCAGTTTTAAGCTGAATATAATTTACATTGCGCTAATTAATATTGAACAGGTAAAGTATACAGGGTGTACAAATAAAAGGTGGATATTTAGGATACTTAATTTTACAAAAGCCAGTTTACCAAGCAATAAGTAAGCTTCAGTTTTAGATATAAATTGATTTTAAATCGGTCAATACCCAGACAGCACACCAAATCCTTTGGATATCTACTGAACATCCCAATATCCACTGAATGTCCAGTCCATGGTGGATATCTATTTTATATCCATGAAATGTAATTTATAGACATGCAAATGTCCATAAATAATAGTAATTATATAGCAAATTATTAAAAAATTACGCCATTGTGCTCGCCATTAAGGCTAATAGTACCGTTCAGATATTTAAAATTATTTTTTTTAAGGTGTATTCAATATCCCATGGACATCCACTAAATATATCAAAGTCTAAGCGCGGACGCAAACCATAGTGGATATCCACTAGATGTAATTTTTGATTTTGTTTCCTAAGTATAGATGGCGATACCACTTTCGTATCTACTCATGCTCAACCCGCCGTAATTGAGTTCGATCGAAATTTTTTTCACAATCAGACTCCATTAGAGACTGGAGTCGAGAATTTCCATTTATTGCTGAAGAGTCCTAATAAGGATGACTTTCTCCTTAGTGCCCTTATTGGGCAAAATCAAAGGCAAATTGTTGGAAATATTTTTTATCTCTATTTTCTTTCGACGTTATTCAATAATCATTGGTAACTTATCTTATGAACCTCTACTAAAGATACCTATAAAATATTTTGCTGAATATCTGAATTCTATATCCTAAGATATAGACGGACATTTGGTTGGATATCCATATTGGATATTCACAAAATATATTCTGTGGATATCTCTGGGATTTCTTGTGTTGTCTGGAAGATACTCATTAGATATTTTGCTGAATATCCATAGGATATCTTCTATATTCTGGATATAGACGGACATTTGGATATCCATTTTAGATCTACGGAATATTTCTGATATCCTGTGGATATATTGTATATCCACAAAAGATATTCTGTGGATATCTCTGGGATTTGGTGTGTTGTCTGGGTATGTAGCGCATCTTGTAAAAAATGCATTTTTAAGCAGATTTTATTCAGTAAACTAATTCGATAATACTAGCCATTTTTGAAATACAGTTTCACCCTCTTATTTGGCATAATTCATAAAATTTTAAGAAAATGCTAAAACAGGTCGTTTTTTTTCTAAATTGAACAGATTTTTACAATACGGACATCTGTCATGTGCCAACTCCCTCCCTTCCTCTTTTATAACCCCTTTAATTTTAAGCTGAATAGGTAATTTTATGGATATTTAATTTAAATAATTTTGAGCATATTTTTTAAATGCGATAAAAGGTTTTGAGTATAAATTCGTAAAATGCAAATTGAGAATTTTTGAAATAAATTTGAAATTCGTCGATATTATTGAAGAAGAAAACGTTATTCAGGTGCCTATATAGGTACACATTTTCTGAATAAGACATGTAATTTTTGTCAGCAAATAAGTTTGGAAGATTTTAAAAGGTATTGTCAAAGTTATATTGTTAAAAAATTCTATGAAAAAAAAAAAAATCAGTGGCGCACCATTTTTTAGTAATCTTGATTTTTCGACTTCGAGTTTTCGACGGATTTTTACGTGTTTATGTGTTTTTATACTCGATATGGATATAGAGAAAACACCAAATTTTAAACTTTAGCTTTAATCCATACTGCGGTGAACTGATTAGAGCTTAGGCATAGTCGGAACATCGGGGGGTACTTTATAGAAAGTCGTTTTTCTACTTAATGGACTATATCTGTGGAAAAGAAAATTCTTCAAATAAAACTTGTTTTTAATGTTATTCTCCATAATTTTTGCTCTATTCATAATTTTCCTAAAATGGTCCGTATTCGAGAAATTTGATAAAAAGTGCGAAAGTTTAATTTTTAAGAAAATTGTTCAAATAAAAGTTGTTTGAGATGTCATTCTTTATAATTCTTGTTCTATACATGATTTCTCTAAAATGAACCGTATTTATGATATTTGAGAAAAAGTGCAAATTTAGAATTTTCAAGATAACTCAAAAACGAATAAAAAGAAAAATACCAAATTTTAAAATTAAGCTTTAATGCATCCTGCTGCGAACTTATTAAACTTTGGACATAGTCGGAACATCTGTAGGGGTAAATATAGAGAGTCGTTTCTCTACTTTATGGAATATATCTGTTATTTACGCTTGGAGAAAAAAATTATTTTAATAAAAGTTGCTTGAAGTATTATTCTCTATAATTTATGTTCTATACAAAATTTTCCTAAAATGGTCCGTATTCGAGAAATTTCACAAAATGTTTAAATACGCCAAAAGCGTGACGTCTGGCAACCCTAGCAATCACTTCCAAAAATATTTTACACTTATTTAGAAACACCCTGTATAATCTCCAAAATACTTATCTAACGAGTTTAAAAACCTATAGTCATATTTTTACCATTTTTGCAAATGTGAAAACCTATGCAATTTTTAACAATTTCGATCCAATACCTACTCAAAAATAATAAAAAAAAATGTATCAATGCCGATTATCTACATGTAGTTTCAAATTTAGTTAAAAAATTGACGTTTTGACATTAATCAATCGATAACAAATTATGTTGTTTCAATAAAAACATAGGCACCTACTAATAAATTAAATGTAGGTATTTTTTAGGTTAGAATACATATAGGTCAATACTTATCTGCATTTTTAGACATTTATTAGGTACCTACATCAAAGTAATTATTTTTATTGAAAAGAAGTAATGTTTTATAAATTTATTCTTGTATTTTAAACATAAATAATTATTGTACCAACTCACCTTTAGCTAGAGAAGTCATTATTTCAGTCTTGAATTTAACTAGGTATTAGGCCAACGTGTAAGAAATTTATAACTAAAAAAATTATAACTATTTAGGTATGATAACGATAATCGATAAGAATATAAAACTTAATGAGAGGAATTTACGTGAAATATATGTTTTTAATTGTGTTATGAACTTCGGACTTAGACATTGAGACCAGAGTCGGCGAGTTCTTTATCTCTGCGCCCCACTCTCTACACAAATCTGCATTTTTTTGAACCAGTTATTTGAGAATTTTATTCGATATGTTTAATAACTGATATTAAAATAATTCGAAAATGAATCTGAAAGGTAAACTATAAATTAATAAATACATTTTTAATGTTTTATAATATAAAATATTAAAAATATTAATTTCTGGACTAAAAATGGCGACGATTAGTAAATAACGTCATCTCATGGACAGAAACTACATTATAAAGTAATACAGAAGAAATCTCTTTATTTATTTTTGTTAGTAAAAATATATTGTAGAGATGGAGCATGTTTGCAGAAAAATGAAATTAAATACCATGGAAGAATCCATCAATATATGCTGCGTTTGAGAATCCACATCGGATGCATCTGAGATGTAAAAAATTTTTGATCACGTGGTTCAGTATACCTACGTAAATGTAATGGGACAGATGTGTCCGATGTGGATAAAAAAACGCTCGAGATGTAAAAAATGCATCCGATGTGGATTCTCAAACGCAGCAATTATTATAATAGGTGATGTGATGTGCTATGGGGTTCTTCAAAGACATTTTAAACATTAAAAGACAACATAACTAGCTGATTTATTTTTAAATAGCAAACAACGAGACTGAACAAAAGACGCTATCTTAAGTTGATCTCACATTTTTCATGACCTACAAAAATTTCTTGTCTGGTAAAATGAACCGCTGACGGTAGGCAACATGGAATACACGTCGTAAACGATGTAATGGTAGTTGCCTAATAGTAGGGGTGTCATAAATAAAAGTTAAAAATTAAGAAAATTTAATTTTTAATAATTTAAATCTATAATACAACCCATTTATAAATGAAAAAGGTAGACATTTGTTAAATTAATATTATTTATTTAAGGTCGATGTTGTCTGAGGCAAATTTAGGTACCTATACGTAACTAAATAAGTGTAAAACATTTAAGGGGGTGATTCCTCATCGAAAAAAAGATAAGATCTTTCATATAAAGAAACTTCATTGGAGCATCCCTTGTTAAGATACAGCCCCTTAAAGGGGGTACATAAAATTTGTTTAACAATTTTTTTCACAAGCACTAAACAAGTTACAATATTGAAATTAACCTGTAATTTTCTACTACTAAAAAGACACTTAGCCAGTAATTTATTTGGTTTACCTCATAGTTGTAAGGGGTGGAAAACGCAACCCCTAAAATTTCGTTCCAACGTAACTTTTTATCTTATTATTTATTTACCATTTAAAATTTTATTTACGATATCCTGTTTCATTCTAAACAAAAAATGTCTCTTGAATTTTTTGCCCAAAATAAACCAGTTCGCAGCAAAACATTATTTTACGAACAACTACAGAGATACATCGACTTTGGTCAAGGAGCTGTTATTTAACTGATAAGAGTTAAGGTAATTAAAGAACTAACAGAGCCTGACTACTATTATTCTCCATCAGAATATCTCCAACTAAACACCCAGGGGAGTAACTTTCGAATAAAAGGCGAGCTCTTTCTTTCTCACTCTCCGTGAAGCTTCCATAGCCATAGCTGTATCCACTTCCCTTTTGCCAGGACCCTGTACAGTCTTGCTGTCACAAAATTTCCTAAAGCTGTTACGTTTAGCTTTTCTGATTATTATATTGTAAATGGTAAGTGTCTTGGTGTAGTTCTGCCAGTATCCTCTGGAAAGTTTCCACACTGCGGACCTTAAGTTTGATAGAAATGTTCCTAGTAGTTCTATTTGGTTGATGGGACAGTTTGATTTATGTCAAGTATTGCTTCATTCAGTTTTTCTAGATCGCTTTCCAGAGCTAGTGGATATATGAGTTCTTATTTAGTCTGAATACGTGCTAAATTTTGTTTTAAATTGATGTATTTGTCCCAGTTGGTTTTTTTTTTAGGATTTTTTTTTAGGATTTTTTTTCCTGGGCTCGTCTGACTATGTGTCTCCGAATAACCCTGAAGCCTATTGGCTTATTGTGTTTTACCCCATGTTAGTTCATAGCACCCACTCTATCACCTTTGTACCTTGTACAAGTTTGTACAGATCCTTGGGTGAGTGGGTTCTATACGTTGTTGGATCAACCTGGGGTTGTCCAAAAAGAGCCTGTCTTTTGCGATCTAGAGCTTCGCATTCGCACAGTATGTGTTTGGCCGTTTCTGGTTTCTTGTGACAGTCGGCACATGAGTTCCCCATTGTACATGCCAATTTTGTTCAAGTGTCCCTTTACTGGGGCGTGCCCAGTCATGAACCCTGTTATCACTTTCAACTGGTTCCTATTCATTAAGAGTAGTTCTCCAGTTCTTTTGGGACATGGTCTGTCTATGAAGGCTTTTCCATGTGCCTGTTTTGGGGTGCTTCCCCAATAGTTGATATGTTGTTCCCGAATCCAGTCATTTATAAAACCCCGGACTGTACTTTTTGGTACTCCTGGGTTTGTGTCTGGTTCCGGTGTTTCTTCTGACCCTCTTTTTGCAAGTTCGTCAGCCTTTTCGTTGCCTTCAATCCCTTTGTGACCTGGCACCCAAAATAGTTTTACTCTATTTCGGTCTGCCAGTGTTCTTAGTTCTTCGATGCATTCCCATACCAGACCAGCCTCGACGTAACTTTCTGACTCGATATGGCCTTAAGTGCCGCTTGGCTGTCTGACATTACTTGAATATGCTGATTTTCGACAGCTCTTTCATTGTTCGTTTTTGCACATTGCAAAATTGCGTATACCTCGGCCTGAAATACCGAGGAATGTATTCCTATAGCATAGCCATGGTTAAAACCACAAATATCTCGAATACGGTCCATTTTATAGAAATTATGTATGGAATAAAAATTATAGAAAATTACATCAAAAACAACTGTTATTTATTTTAAAAATTTGAATTATTTTTACATTTAATCAAATTTCTCGAGTACGCACCTTTTTAGGAAAATTATATATAACAAAAAATATATATTACAAATTAAAAGCAACTTTTATTTGAAGAAGAAACCATTTCCCAGTTCTACCAGTTCTTAATCATTTTATTTACGTACTAGCGGACCCGACAGACGTTGTCCTGTCTTAACTATGAATATTGATTTCGAATTGGTATAATTAACTAAAAAAATGTTTCAGACACAAAGTGTTTATTATTCTAATGCAAACACAATAAAAAAAGAATCCGCGAAATCGGTCCAGCCGTTCACACGTGATGCCCTGACCAAGGGAAATAGGAATTCATTTTTATATATATAGAAATTTTCTAATTTTGCACGCAATTTTCTTAATTTTTTCTTTCATAAGAACCTTCTCCTGACAATAAAAAACACAACAAAAAAAGAATTAACGAAATCGGTGTAACCGTTCACGCGTGATGCCGTGACCATGAGAAGTAGGGATTCATTTTTATATATATATAGAAATTTTCTATTTTTTCGCGGAATTTTCTTCATTTTTACTTTCATAAGAACCTTCTCCTAACAATAACAAACACAACAAAAAAAGAATTAGCGAAATCGGTCCAGCCGTTCACGCGTGATGCCGTGACCAAGAGAAGTAGGGATTAATTTTTATATATATAAAAATTTTCTAATTTTCCGCGCAATTTTCTTAATTTTTTCTTTTATAAGAACCTTCTCCTGGCAATAACAAATACAACAAAACAATAATTAGTAAAATCGGTCCAGCCGTTCACGCGTTATGCGATTCTTTTTATATTATAGATGATAGATCATTTTATATAACTATATAAATCATTGGACATCCTTGAGTAAATAAAAAAATCCTTAAATAAATATGGAATATGATTACGTATTACTATAAACAAATTTTCATTCCTAAATAAAAGATCTTATCCAATTCTTCAAGAGCTAAAATACGACGAAGTAGCGAAATTATGCTACATCTGGCAACACTGAACGAGATCTTCAACAAATTTCCTCCAGAGGGCGTATCACTTAGCTTGAATCGCGAATCAGTGTTGTCAATCTAGTCCATTTTCTACGAATCTGGTACACTGGAAGAAAAATCTAAAACCTTTTTCTATTTTAGCATGTTAGCATTTAACGCCTGTAAAATATATTGTTGGGATCTTGATCCTTGTTTTTTCCCTTAATGGACCAAACCACTAACATGTGGTTAGTGGTTTCATTCTAAAATCTGGTACATTTTACAGAATCTAGTACATTTTTATGTAATCTGGTACATTTTTTAGACAAATCTAATACTCTGGCAACACTGTCACGAATTAGTTTTGAATTTTCATCTAGAATGCCGTTGCATCACTGAAAACCTGTCATTCGACGAAACAAAAAATTTCTTTCTCTTTTTACTTTAAAATGACGCCTGTGTTATTTGTGTGCTTCAAACGTGTAAACTTTTCAGTAATTATCAATTAAAAGTTATTATTGTTGCTAAAATCGTGTGTTTCATTCAGAAGATAAAAGTTTTGCTGTAAGGGTAAGCTATTTTCTTTCTGTCAAAACCGCTAAGTGTAGAGTTGATTGATAGTATTAATACCTAACAGTGTGAGATGCTTTGATTGCTTCCTAAAAAACGTTTGATAGGTATATAATTGAAAATTATATTTCGAAATTAATATAGTATGCTTTTACTTTCATCATAAATACATTTTTATTTCTAAAATATTAGTAGGTAAATTATTTATAATTTAAATCATAATTTTCCAATCAAATCTAGTAGGTATTCTCTGTACCTGTCATTTCCATTTCACAGACACAATCAAAGATCACGCGCCATGGGTAATTAGCTTTTGTTGTTGTTTTGTGTATGTCATTTGAAAATTATTTTGCAATAAGTGAGGTTATCATTTGTATGTAATTCAATAAATGTTTGGAGGTGTTTTTTCTATATTAAATAAAGTGTTTCCAGATCCAAGTGTTGAAAGAACTAAATATTATATGTAAAAGGTAAAATTTACTATTTAACGTTTTTTTTTTTACATTTTTATTGTAGGTATTAGTTCTATAATAACAAAAACACTTACTACCTAAATATACCTATAATTCTTATTTTATTTTTTACTGCAACAGTAAAGAAATTAAACTAAATAATATAGTAAACGTTTTTATGGT